ATTCTGCCCCCACCTCCCCACTTCCTTCCCAGCCGACTCTCAATACTGACTACTCATATCTACATCATTGTTTCAAATAAGTAAGCCTATATACTATAATATGATCATACCCGTCTCTAAAGATTGACAGAAAAGCCTACAAAGATTGATATAAATATTCACATGTTTATATTATTGTCAGTTGTTTTATATATATAGGGTAACATAATACTTTATAAGTACATAGAATGAGGTCAAAATTCAAATAATTCATCTGTTGAATAGATTATATTATTTCTTAATCAATTATTTACTTATATATAAGAGATTTTGATTTATATTTTTATTCCCCTAATTATTATACTTTATTTAGTTTTTCTACATTATACGCCTATATTAAACAATAATTAGATATTTTTATATGCCCATATTTTATGTTACAGAATAAAATTCTAAATTTTCTACTTTCCTAAACTTGGAACATGACCGTTATGGGAATTTGAATGGGGTCAATATTATTTCGAAAATTTCGACACATACATCTTGTGATTGGGGGAGGGGGTAGATCTATTATGCCTGTTGGTCCGTCATGCTACAAGTCCAAATTTGTAAATTTTCCCTTTTTCTTAAACTTGGAACATACCTGTTTATGGTAATTTTAATGGGGCCAAAATTATTTTGAAATTTTTGACATACAAACATATGGGGGTGGTAGTGGGGTCAAGATTTTTACGTGCAACCACATTTATCTTTTTTATCTATACCCACATATTTTAGAATATTGTTTAATGTAGGCCAACTGATAAGTCATCAGTCGGAATAAATTATATCATTTCTTAATCAATTATATACTTATAGATAAGGTTTTGATATAAATATTCATATTTCCCATTGAAAGTCTTTGTAAATGTAATCAAAATATCTGATGTTAAATTAGACAAATTATAATCTTGTTACTGCCAAAATAGTATTTTGTTTTAATGAAGTTGTAGGACTGGTGTCTACTGTTATAATGTTTCAATTATATTATATATAGTGAGTAAACACTTCCACTTTTTCTGGGGACTTGGGGAAAATTCTGCCCCCACCCCCTTCCTAGCCGGCCCTCAATACTGACTACTCATATCTACATCATTGTTTCAAATAAGTATATACTATAATATGATGATACCAGTCTCTAGAGATTGTCAGAAAAGCCTACAAAGAATGATATAAATATTCACATGTTTATATTGTCAGTTGTGTTAGGGTAACCTAATGCTTTATAAGTACATAGAATGAGGACAAAATTAATTCATCTGTTGAATAGATTATATTATTTATTAATCAATTATTGACTTATAGATAAGAGATTTTGATTTATATTTGTATTTCAATAATTATTATACATTATTTAGTTTTTCTTATATTAAACAATGTCAAAATTATTTCAAGATCTATTATGCCTGTTGGTCCGTCACGCTACAAGTCCAAATTTGTAAATTTTCCCTTTTCCTTAAATTTGGAACATACCAATTTATGGTAATTTTAATGGGACCAAAATTATTTCGAAATTTTAGACAGACAAAAACATGGGGGTGGTAGTGGGGTCGAGATTTTTATGTGCAACCACATTTATCTTTTATCTAGACCCATGATTTTAATATATTGTTTAATGTGGGCCAATCGATAATTCATCAGGCCAAATTAATGAATTATATACTTTTGTTAATAAGATTTTTGCCTGAAACCACATTTAATATTTTTTTTATCTATACCAACTTATTTTAAGATATTGTTTAATATGGTCCAACTTATTTCTTGTTTCTTAATCAATTATATACTTATAGATGTAGTTAAAAATCGTTTACAAATAAAATAAATCGTTTAAAAATAAAATATTTCACCATCGTTGTTTTTACTGAATCTGTAATTTTGCTGTGAACAAGCTGGCGTTAGAGTAAATTGAGATGCTACGTAAATTGAGATTCTGAAATCCATCCACAGGCCATTGCCTGAACGAGGCTTTATGTTAATTTGAGATAAGTTTTGCTTAGCTTTGGAGACCAGTGCGGTGGCAATGAATTAGATAATAAAGAGTAGCCAATCATGCTCGTAGCCGTAGCTGAAGGAGCCGTGGGCATGATATAGGGGCCGGGGGCTTCCCAACTAGTTTCAATTCCGATTTTGCTGGCAAAAGTAGTTTGATAATTAAGGTATTTAGGCGATGGTTAAGTAGATGTCAAATACCTCATCTCCACACGCTCCCTCCCACCCCACCCCCATGGCCGTGACATCCCCTTTCTATGTTCATAACATATATAGGGACTCTATTCTTTTCGAGGTGGGGGCGGGCGAAAATATTAGTATCTACTTAAGTACATGTATCACTTAAGTGAAATGAAATGAAATTGGGTTTAACGTCCTACTGTTCTGCTCCTATACTGGGCTAATGAAGACGGGCATACGCCATACAGTGTGTTATGAGAGAAATTTTGCCCGGGCAGCGGCACTATCGCCTACTCTTATATCGAATTCCAACGGGACCTCGGTTTTTCGTCTCATCCGAAGGAATAGACAGCTGTCCTTGTCAGGCCCTCCGTCCTGCATCACTGACACGGGGTATCACTTAAGACTGGTGAAGACCTCCCCCTTCCCTCCCGAGCCCCTGGCTTCTTCAGTTATGGCTTAACTATCGCCTGAATACCTTAATTATTAAACTACTTTTACCCATAAAATCGAACTTGAAACGAGTTGGGAAGGCCCCTACCCCATGCCCCCGGCTCCTTCAGCTATGGCTACGAGCATGATTTGCTACTCTATATTATCTTTGTCCATGACTGTCACCGCTTCTTAATATTGAGTGACTGGTTTATTCGACTGGATTTGACTGAACTATTTGACTGATGTTATAGACTGAACTAATTGACTGATTTTATCGACTGGACGAGGCCACATGAAAATGTCAAATACCTCATCCCCACACGCTACCTCCCCATCGTAACCCCTTTCTACGTTCATATCATATATAGGGACTCTATTCTTTTCGAGGTGGGGGGGGGCGAAAATATTAGTATCAACTTAATTAAGTAGGCTACATGTATCACTTAAGACTGGTGAAGACCTCCCCTCCCCCTTCCCGAGGCCCTGGCTCCTTCAGTTATGCCTTAACTATCGCCTGAATACCTTAATTATCAAACTACTTTTGCCCCTAAAATCGAACTTGAAAATGTCAAATACCTCATCCCCATACGCTCCCTCCCACCCCACCCCATCGCATCCCTCTTTCTACGTTCATATCATATATAGGGACTCTATTCTTTTCGAGGTTGTGGGGGGCGAAAATACTATAGTATCTACTTAAGTGCATGTATCACTTAAGACTGGTGAAGACCTCCCCCACCCCCTCCCGAGCCGCTGGCTCCTTCAGTTGTGGCTTAAGCATCGCCTGAATACCTTAATTATCAAACTACTTTTTCCCGTAAAATCGAACTTGAAACAAGTTGGGAAGCCCCCCCCCCCCCCCGGCCCCTACCCCATGCCCCCGGCTCCTTCAGCTATAGCTACGAGTATGATTTGCTACTTTATATTATCTTAGTCCACTGCCACCGCTGCTTAATATTGAGCTTAATTTTATTGACCGAAGTCAAAAACCTCATCCGCATACGCCCCTACCCAGCACCCTTTTCTGCATGCGGTCATATATGGATACTTTATTCTTTTTTAGGTGAGGGCCGATAATATTAGTATCAAGTCCTATGTCGCGGGCAAAAGTAGTTTGATAATTAAGGTATTTAGGAGATGCTTAAGTAGCCATAGCTGAAGGAGCCAGGTGCAGGGGGGGGGGGGGGGGCTAGGTCTTTCACCAGGTGTCTTAAGTGATACATGTACATAAGTAGATACTAATATTTTCGCCCCCCCCCCACCTCGAAAAGAATAGAGTCCCTATATATGACCGTAGAAAGAGGGTGGGGTGGAGGGGGAGCGGGCGTGTGGGGATGTGGTATCTAGTGAGTGACATTTTCATATTGCCTCAAATAATCCAGTCGAATAAACCAGTCAAATAAATCTGTCGCTCAATATTATATGACGAGGGAAAAGGTAAAGCATGACTTTATTAAGCAGCGGTGGCAATAACTATTAAGATAACACCTTAAAGTTTTAATTTGAACAATCAAATTTGAACATGAGGGAACATAACAAATAGACAAAAGCAATGATAAACGATATTGGAATTAGTGCGTTTTTTCTTTTAACTTATATTTTGTACAAACTATTCCAAAATTTTAGGGGGGTTGGATGGGCGAATGGTTAGCATGTGCGTGCTGTATCATAAGGCCTGTCATTGAGTCAACTGGCGTAGTTTCGAATCCCCGGTTGTACGTGACAAGGAGTAGGGTCGCCTGTCCAACCTCGGGGGTTAATTTTCTCCGGGTCCTCCAGTTTCCTCCCACTGCTAAAGACCCCTACGCGCAAGCGAATTATTGAAATAAAATTGAACCATGTGTTAGTCCCGAAATGACCTAGTTTGTGTTGAGTGGACGTTAAACCCCATTTCTCTCTCTCTCTCTCCAAAATTTTAATAAGCCATCGACTTATTCGAGGTTTTTACATTACCGGTACTATTTTCTTCAATCGTCTCCTAAAATTAGCTATTCTAAAACAACATGTAGCCTATAGTCCTCCATAAAACACTCCACATTGTTGTTTTAATTCCAAGCAACTAAATACTATGCTGTCGTCAGTTTTATGCATAGTGCACAGACTAAAAATAAGCTATTTTTTAGAATTAAGTCCTGCGATTTATGGCATTATTTCAGTCGATGACCTCATTCGTTGACCCTTAACCCTAGTTGATGACCTTACTAGCAAAGAGAGGGATCGTTTGAAGGAAAAATGCAATAAAGTTTTAATTTTAACAATCAAGTTTGAATTTGAGGGAAAACAAAAAAAAAAAATAGACGAAAACGATGATAAATTATGAAATTTGAATGTATTCCTAAATTTTAATCGACCATCGACTGATATATTCGACTGCAAATTCTCGTGGTACTTAGGCCGGGTGATAGGTGAAAATGGCATCTGCAGTCGTCATCCGTAATGTTTGCAAAACACTGCCAACAATCAATATTTTTAATCGCTTTTCATTTAGAAGTTATACATCTGGAGCTAGCACAGGTTACACTTATTCCATTTATGCCCCATTCATAGGATGTCATCTTTATTCAGGAAAATTATACGACATTGCATGCTCTGTTCCCCGTTTATTTGGTCTACTTTCGATTTATTGACCAGGAAATGTGAACGATTAAACTAATCAATGTTTGATTGGAAGTTTATTTTCCCCTTTTCTACCAGTTTCTGCCCCAAATGTAGTTATAAGGCACTATGTCTGTGGCTGCAGAAGGCAAGCGGTGATTAGTCTACCCGGCAGAAAGCGCACATAATGGACTTCACTCGACTAGAATCACACATTTATTTACACTCAATTTTAAGGTTCGAATCCAGCATGTGTCAATAGGATTCCCAGGAGTTAAACTCAAAACTGAGGTCAAGCCTTGTAAATGTTGGCATGCATGTTAAGAAGTATCCTTGACAGTTGGTTTTGATGAGGATAAGGCAGATACACCTTTGTCTGAACAAAATTCCCCCATATCCTATCATTGAACCAACCATAGAAAAAAGGCAGTGGCTATTTGCCACATGTGGTAAACAAGAATTTCAAAATAGTCTTACGACTACAGACCGCAATTGTTAACCGATTTTAATGAAACTTACAGATTATGATAACATTGATAACATCTCTGAGTAGGAAAACTTTCGACCACTTCCGGTTGGCGGTTTCCGAGATATGGGGGTTACCACACATTTCATGTGGCACGGCTACAGACCGCAATTATGAACCGATATGCATGAAACTTACAGAATATGATAACATTAGTAATATCTCAGAGTTAGCGGTTTCTGAGATATCAGGTTACCACTCATTTCATGTGGCACGGCTACAGACCGCAATTACCAACCGATTTCAATGAAACTTATCTGTAAGTTTCATTGAAAAATTAAACCTCGATCAATCCTTTCAATTCTTTTTGTTGTGTATATTTAATGTTCCAAATTGAATAAAGATCAGAAACCCCAATGAATGAATGGTTGGATTGGTCTAAAACATTTTCACACTAGGTAATGAAAATAATTCTAAATTACTTTAAGAAGAATTATCACACTCTCACCATATAGATTTAATTTTATAGTAAAGCGACATTTTCATATTTTCTGAGAAATTCAAAATATAAACATTTCTTTAACTATTATACAATCATTTGGATTTATTTTAGCACTTAATAATAAGACATTCACATAAAAATTTGAAATATTTTCTTACCACCCACGGTACTTGGAAAAGTCAATATCAAACGTTTTACTTTAAACAGGAAAATGATGTTTCTTGTCAATTTCTCAACTGACACTAGTGAATTATAGGATTAATGATAGGATTATTCTTTAACAATGTAGGACTGTGTATAGATTTTAACATATGACTTAAAAAAAATGCAATTGTCACTTTGACATATTTATAAATTCCCAAAAAGTCAGTGTCTGCTCAGAGAAAAATATTGTTAATGAGGTTTCGCTGAAAACCACAGCAAAATATATACAAATCATTGCATCATTGCATTATATCATTGCATGCCAATGTATACACGGGAGCTCCATTTTTTCGTCTCATCCAAACGACTAGATGAAGAATAAATTTGCAAACAAGACAATTAGGACATGATAGAGAGTATCATGTTTCTACCATTAAAGAAAGCTCTGTAATTGTGGAAAATTTAAAAAAAACAAGCCAACAGTGAGGCTGATGTCCCTTGCCGAAATCCCAAAATAAAAAGAGTATACATATTAATTAATCGCACATTTTTCAAAAGTATCGAGCAATCAAACCATACACTAAGTTTCACCAATCTCTATCAGATAGAATCAAGATTATCTTGTCCCAAACCATCGACAAATGAAATCGATTAGCTCTGCTTAGCGTCAGCTCGAAATGTTAATCATTGAACTCAGTCAAGACATTCACCTAATGAACAACTACATCAAGTTTAAACATTCACCTAATGAACATCTACATCAAGTTTAAACATTCACCTAATAGACACCTACACCAAGTTTGAACATTCTACCTCAATTAGAAGGAGAGTTATTGTGTCTCAGCAAAAACTGTTCATTATCGAATTTAGTCAAGGTATTGATGTAATAAAGCTATACACCAAGTGCCCTCACTCTCACTTAATTGAAACTAAAGTTATCGTGTCCCAAAGCATCAACCAATCAAACTGCTTATCTCTGCTTACCGTAAGCAGAAAATTCACATCTTCGACCTCCATCAAGGCATTCACCTAATAAACACCTACACCAAGTTTGAACATTCTAGCTCAATTAGAAAGAGAGACAGGCGGACGGACGAATCCATTTTAATAGTCCCCTGCTTTCTTCGAAAGGTGGGGGACAATAAAATATCCCTGAAATGAGGTGTGCATTATTGTTATCGCTGGGTTGGTTTCACAGAATATTTTAATTTACCTTTTTAATCAATCAACATATTAAGGTACAGTAGTTGGGATTGCAACACATGCAGCAGGGCCTACCTGGTCACAGTCAATATTGAAATCTAATGGATTATGTGGTTGCCATCAAATATGAAAGTAAATCATTTTTATACGCCCACATTTTCATGTGGACGTATATTGTCGTCGCCCTTGTTTGTTTGTCCGTCCGTCGGACGTCCATCCACAATTTGTTTGTGGACACTCTACAGGTCACAATTTTTATCCGATTTCAACGAAACTTGAAATATAGCTTTATCTCCCTGAGATCTCAGTTACTTTCGATATTGGCATGTATCGGAACGTAGCATCATGGATTATGGCCCCTGATTGTATGAAAAATCACATTTTTAGCTTGTGGACACTCTAGAGGTCACAATTTTTATCCGATTTTGATGAAACTTGAAATGTAAGTTTATTACCCAAAGATCTTTGTTCTGTTCGATGTTCGCGCATATCGGACTGTAACTTCCTGAATTATGGCCCCTGATTGTTCGAAAAATCACGTTTTTAGCTTGTGCACCCTATAGAGGTCATAATTTTTATCCGATTTAAAAAAACTTTGTAGTATATCACCGTTACACCCTAAGGATGGCCGAGTTAGAAATTCATGAAAATCAGGCCAAAACTAACAGACAAAATGGCCGCCCCTCGTTCTCAAATAGTGTAAAAATATGGTATATCAAGGTTGTGGACCCAATGGAGGTTACAATTTTTATCCGATTTTGATGAAACTTGAAATGTAAGTTTATAACCCAAAGATCTCGGTTCCTTTCGATATCCGCGCATAACGGATAGTAACTTCCTGAATTATGGCCTCTGATTGTACGAAAAATCATGTTTTTTAGCTTGTGAACCCTATAGTGGTCATAATTTTTATCCGATTTAAAAAAACGTTTGAATATATCACTGTTACACCCTAAGGATGGTTGAGTTCTAATTTCGTAAAAATCGGACCTAAACTGACAGACAAAATGGCCGCTCCTCGTACTCAAATAGAGTAAAAATATAGTATATCAATGTTGTGGACCCTCTAGAGGTCTTTTGATTTTGATGAAACTTGAAATGTAAGTTTATAACCCAAAGATCATGGTTGCTTTCTATATTCGCGCATATCGGATATTAACTTCCTGAATTATGGCCGCTGATTGTACGAAAAATCACGTTTTTAGCTTGAGGTCCCTCTAGATGTCACAATTATTATCCGATTTAAAAAAAAACATTCAAATATATCACTGTTACACCGTAATTTTGGTTGACTTCGTATTTCGTGAAAATCAGACCAAAACTGCCTGACAAAATGGCCACCCCTCGTACACAATTAGCGTAAAAATATGGTATATGAATGTTTTGGATCCTCTTGAGGTCACAATTTTCTTCTGATTTTGATGAAACTTGAAATGTAAGTTTATAACCCATAGATCTTGGTTCTTTCCAATATCTGCGCATGTCGGATCGTAAATTCCTGAATTATGGCCCTTGATTGAACAAAAAATCACGTTTTTAGCTTGTGGTCCCTGTAGAGGTCAGAATTTTTTTCTGATTTAAAAAAAATGTGTGTATATATCACCATTACACACTAAGATCTTGGATCCATTTGATAATCACGGATACCCGAACTTTACTTCCTGGATTATGGCCCCTGATTTTTCGAGAAAAGGCATTTTTAGCTTGCGGATTCTCTAGAGGTCACAATTTTTTTTTTCGATTTTAAAAACCGTTTAAATATTTTACCATTCCACCATAATGAAGGTTGAATTCGAATTTTGGGAAAATCGAAATGAAACTGCCCAACAAAATGGCCGCTCTTTGTACGCAAATTGTGTAAAAGTATGCAATACGAAGGTTGTGGAACCTCTATAGGTCACAATTTTTATCCGATTCTGATGAAACTTAAAACATATCTTTATATCCCAAAGATCTCAGTCCCTTTTGATATTTGTGCATTTCAGACTATAACTTTCTGGATTATTGCCCCTGATTGTACAAAAAATCCTGTTTGTTTTTAGCTTGTTCTCTATCCATCTCTTGCAAAATGTGAGCGTATCCTGCCTGGCAGCCGATGGTATTCATTAGCAGAGGTTTATTTATACTTTTTCAAAGCAAAATTTTTTTAACAATTATCCGGTAGCCATTATATATAGCCATAATGAGTTTTATGTGGTCTTCAATCAAAATGCATGTTTACATACTAGTACTTCAAATAAAGTACACCGCTATGGTACCTAAAGTTAATTAATTACCTACAAATAACATATTACATTAGATAATGAGTTTTATGTGGTCTTCAATCAAAATGCATGTTTACATACTAGTACTTCAAATAAAGTACACCGCTATGGTACCTAAAGTTAATTAATTACCTACAAGTAACATATTACATTAGATATTTTTTTAAATATAATAAATCAACCAATGCTCAGGTGTTTTTATAAGTCAAAATCCTGTACAGCACAGTAGATGCTTACGGCTAGCCCCCCTCCCCCACCCCCGTACAGCACAGTAGATGCTTACGGCTAGCCTCCCTCCACCCCCCCAGAGGATCCATTCCATTTGATTTGATATATATATACGTTTATTGTTTGAAATATATTTGTAGCCTATATATATTGTGTGTCGTTTCCACTGCTTTGTCTTGTGTGTCGTTGATTGTTTATGTGTGATGCTGTCCTCCTGCATTTACTATTCACTCGGCTAACCAAAGAGCTCTGAATGTATCAATTTTAGTCCAGATTGGAGAAATTGCAATGGAGAAAATCTGATAGTTGAAAATGCAAAGATAAAAAAGTTACTGTGAATTTGCAAAAGCGAAAAGTATTGAGTTAGAAAATCATAACTAGCTATATAGGTTTTATACTGTTAATTTTTTCCCGAGTGATTTTGTGTCATGTGATACTTACAAGTGAAAAATCTCGAAAATGGCCATTTTTGACTTTGTAATTTTCAATATGATATTTTCTCTTAATATGACAACGATTCGGCGCCATAAACCTGCTGTATATATAGACAAATCACATTTAGTTGAAATCTTTTTTTTTACCCACTGGTGATGATCACAAAGTGTTTATACCTCTTTATTATGTTTGCAGATACAGCAATTGTAAAATTGATATGACCTTTTTAATTTGTAAAATGATTCTTTTGATTTTTTTTTGTGTAATTCAGGTAATTTAGATATTGGTAAATTGGGTCATGTTTCATTAATTGGATTAAATAACCCAGAGAAGAGAAATGCTGTTGATCCATTCACAGCTAAACAGCTTATTGAAGCTTTCCAAGACTTTGAAAAAGATGAAAATGCAAGAGTGGCTGTTTTATATGGAAAAGGTAATTTTAACATTATTGATGATGTGAGAGATGCTATATGCCTATTTCATTACTGATACCCGATCTAAAGAACAAAAATGTAGGCCTATTATTTTCTACAGAATTTGGTGCTACATTAATGTTACCTGGTAATATCTTTTCCATTTGAAGTTGTGTTATAGAATACCAGGATAAAATGTCTTATTTATACGCCCACATTGAAATTTGATCGTATATTGTTGTCGCCCCCCGTCCGTCCGTCCGTCGGTCCACAATTGCTTGTGGACACTCTAGAGGCTAAAGTTAATATCCGATTGACTTTAAATTTATATACAGTGTTTAAGGCCATGAAATGAAGAAGCCGATTGATTTTCAGCGATTTTCAATATTTACTGCCAGAGTTATGGCCCTTGATCACTTTGAAAAATCTTGTGGACGCTCTAGAGGCTAAAGTCAATATCCGATTGACTTTAAATTTATACACAGTGTTTAAGGTCATGAGACAAAGAAGTCTATTCATTTTTATACGCCCACATTTTCATGTGGACGTATTATGCCGTCACCCCTGTCCGTCCACAATTTGTTTGTGGACACACTACAGGTCACAATTCTTATCCGATTTTGACGAAATAGGTTTATCTCCAAAAGATCTTGGTTCCTTTCGATATTGGCATGTATTGGATCGAAACTTCATGGATTATGGCCCCTGTTTGTACGAAAAATCACGTTTTTAGCTTGTGGACACTATAGAGGTCACAATTTTTATCCGATTTTGTTGAAACTTGAAATCTAAGTTGATAATCCAAAGATCTCTGTTCCTTTCGATATTCGCGCATATCGGATCATAACTTCCTGAATTATGGCCCCTGATTGTACCAAAAATCGCGTTTTTAGCTTGTAGAGGTCATAATTTTTTTCCGATTTAAAAAAACGTATTATTATATCACCGTTACACCCTAAGGATGGCTGAGTTCGAATTTCGTGAAAATTGGCCCAAAATTGACAGACAAAATGGCCGCCGTTCATTCTCAAATAGCGTAAAAATATGGTATATCAAGGTTGTGGACACTATAGAGGTCACAATTTTTATCAGATTTTGTTGAAACTTGAAATGTAAGTTTATAACCCAAAGATCTCGGTTCCTTTCGATATTCGCGCATATCGGACCGTAACTTCCTGAATTATGGCCCCTGATTGTAGCTTGTGGACCCTATAGAGGTCATAATTTTTATCCGATTTAAAAAACCGTATTATTATATTACCGTTACACCCTAAGGATAGCTGAGTTCGAATTTCGTGAAAATCGGCCCAAAATTGACAGATAAAATGGCCGCCGTTTGTTCTCAAATAGCATAAAAATATGGTATATCAAGTTTTTAGCTTGTGGACCCTATAGAGGTCATAATTTTTATCCGATTTAAAAAACCGTATTATTATATTACCGTTACACCCTAAGGATAGCTGAGTTCGAATTTTGTGAAAATCGGCCCAAAATTGACAGATAAAATGGCCGCCGTTTGTTCTCAAATAGCATAAAAATATGGTATATCAAGTTTTTAGCTTGTGGACCCTATAGAGGTCATAATTTTTATCCGATTTAAAAAACCGTATTATTATATTACCGTTACACCCTAAGGATAGCTGAGTTCGAATTTCGTGAAAATCGGCCCAAAATTGACAGATAAAATGGCCGCCGTTTGTTCTCAAATAGCATAAAAATATGGTATATCAAGGTTGTGGACACTATAGAGGTCACAATTTTTATCCGATTTTGTTGAAACTTGAAATGTAAGTTTATAACCCAAAGATCTCGGTTCCTTTCAATATTCGCGCATATAGAGGTCACAATTTTTATCCGATTTTGTTGAAACTTGAAATGTAAGTTTATAACACAAAGATCTCAGTTCCTTTTGATATTTGCGCATATCGAATTGTAATTTCTTGAATTATGGCCCTTGATTGTAGGAAAAATCACTTTCTTGTTAGCTTGTTCTCTATCCATCTCTCGAAAATGTGGGCGTATCCTGCCTGGCAGCCGCTGGTCAGTGATTTTCGATAATTACTGTCACAGTTATGGCCCTTGATCACTTTGAAAAATTTTGTGACGCTCTAGAGGCTAAAGTTATCATCCAATTGACTTCAGATTGATACACAGAGTTTAAGAGCTTGAGACGAACAAGTATATTGATTTTCAATGAATTTTTATGACTTGATATTAAAAGTTTTGTATATATAACGTTAGCATGGGGCAGAACTTTATAAAAACCAAACAAATTCTAATGGTTTTCTGATAATTACTTCATGAGTTGTTACTCTTAATCAGATTTTAGTGTATTATAAATGTTTCATTACCGAAAGAAGTAAAAATATGCGACGTCTTGTTGACTGCCCAGACGATTTAGCTGCTGTGGGCGTATGTTTCGTTGCCTGGCAACCTATCTTTATGGACATTAAAGAACCATCCCAATCAGTCAGGATTGAATTGCACAGATGAACGTTGTTGGTCAGTCGCTGAAAGTACCACAATAAGTGCTTTAAGCTTTAGTCTCCACTACACTGCATGGCGTATGCTCATCTTCATTATGGTATGGTTAACAATTAACCCCATTTTTCTTAGGCCAATACCTGGTACTAAATAATGTTATCAGAAGAAACATTTTGCTCCAGCATCAGGAATTTCAAAAGAACATTGCTATGACTAATAGAAATATATATACTGAATAAAAATATAGATAGTTCCTAGGTTCTAACCCCGTAGTATTTTTATTTTACTGCAGAATCTTAATCTTTAAACCATATTTGGATGTAGGTACTGGTCACATGTCTTTAATTAGCCAATCGTTAATATGTAAACAAACTATATCATGTGGAAACATTTTAAGATAAATAAAACCACGCAATGTAAGTTCAATCAGTCTGAAGAGTAAAACTACTAGCAGGATACCCGGCTTCGCTCGGGGGTCATAACTCTGAAACCGGAAGTGGTAGACTAACGCCACCTGGCCTATGTTACTCCCCGGTCCGAGCTACCCCTATACCCCAAATTTCAGACTCGGGGCAGACCTAGTGTAGCCGCCAACCCCGAACAGACAGACAGACAAACAGACAGACAAACGACAGTGACAAATATTAGTATAGATGATAAAATATGTATACTGGTGGATTAGCTGATAGAAATTGTGACCCAATTTCGTAAACTTGTGAGATCTGTTGAGGGATCCCCCCACCCCACCCCCAACAAAATATTCTACATCCCGCCACTCAGGCAGTAAGGTGCTGCCTCACTAACCAGGAGATCCACTGGTGCGTCACATAAAAGTATTCCAAATAAGAGTAGGTCGTAGTGCCACTGTACAGGCAAAATTTCCTCATAGCGATTACACAGCTTGGCACATGAAGTCCCGAAGGAGCTAAAGAGTACCTATCGGCTTCCATACGTCTGCTTGTCTTCATTATCCTGCTTGGTTTGAAATAGTATTTGCCAACCATATCACGTTCGATGTTGTTTTCAATTTCAGCATCGATTCACCGGTTGTACATGATAAGGAATATGTCCAACCTCATGGGTTTTCTCTGTGTCCTCTGTTATCCTCCTGTTGCTAGACCCTACGCGCTAGCAAATCATTGAAATAAAATTGAACCATATGTTAGTCCCGAAATGATCGAGTGGACGTTAAACCACATCTCTCTCTCTCTTTATATATATATATATGTTTTAAATTTTAACACTCTGCCAAAACCATTCAACCTGACGAAGAGCGAGTTGTTTGTGTCAGTCAACATAATGATCCCGATCAGGTGGTCAATCACCAAATTGAGCACAAGGTGGCGAAACCAACCAACGTCATAATGATGGTTGCTAGGTAGAAGTATCAAAATTCTAAATTTGTTCGATGTTCATGATTAACATGTAAAGCGACAATGAAGTAGACATTTTTCGTCTCTTCGATAGTCCAATTTATTTTTTACACATTGCTGAACACATTTACACATTGTCATCAACAACATAATAGACAGTATTTTATATAAAACATACATGTAGAGTACACAAAATGTGAACATAAAAACACAAATTAAAACTATATAATGCAAAAATGAGTCACTGTCACTATAATATCACAGTCTAAAGTAGAATTTAATCTCCATCCATCAGGAAATAGCATTAATTATACAAAGTTCTTGTTGGATTCAGTTCCTCAAATAACATGTGATGTGTCAGTATTGTTTGTATCCAGTAGATGAGGTTGGTAATTTATCCATCATATTTTCTGCTGGTAAAATATATCAACAAATAACCTTTCACTTTTAAATTATGTAAAGGTGAATGAAGTAACTGGATGATCTGTAAGTGTCAGTTCTGAAATAAATGGAAGGTGGATGTATTAATGAATAAATGAAATGGAATTTATTGTCCAATCAATACAATTATTGTACAAACACAAGTTTATATATATTCTATGGTTAGCTGTGCAATGTGAGCAATTTGCCTGGCAAGCTGTTAATCTGCCTCCTTTTATATATGTATAACTACCTCGAAATATCAAATGTGCACTGTCAATTTGCACGCGGGAACTCATTTATTGAAAGAAAATAATAAGGAACAAATGTAGATTAACAAACTTTCTAAACATTATTTTTCAACTAGGCCTTGCTTTAACTTACTTTGGCAAATTGCTTCTGGTCCTTCCAACTGTCATTCCTGTGATATTGTTTTAATTTGTCTCGTTAAATTCACCATATGTTTGGCGCAATATAGCCCGGTTGGAGCTGACGTGCCATTAAACAACATTTCATTTCATTTCATTTCCTTCCAACTGTAATCATTTCATGAAATACTGATCCTACTAATCAAAACCTCTTTTCGTATCTCTTCTGTTAGCAAATCGAGTGAAACCATTTATCCCTGATATTATTTTCAAATTCGTCCTAGATTCACCATCATCTGGAATCACAGCCATAACCCTTTCATTTCTTTCTCTTTTCAGCCACTCTGCAGCAATGGTCCTAAATTTTTCCTATCTGAATGTATTCAGAACTAACTTGATTCCACGTGAATAATACATTACTTCTTTAGATTTGGGGAATTTTCCTATGCTTTGTCCCTTACTTTGTCCGTTATGGAGGCTGCCACTTTTATTGCTATGAAGCGCCCCTTTGGTTGAATCATGTCACATGACCATTTTAGTCAACAAGGAACCTCTCAAAACACTCCATTTTGTTGATTAGGCGGAGATATGGAGCGCGAAATTTAAAAGCAGATTTTATCAAGACTGTGAGGTATTTCTCTAAGAACTTTGATTTTTGGAATGAGAAAGCTATAATGAACACATTCTTTCACTAAAATGTTAAATTGCTTTTTGATGAAGCAAAGGTGGCAAGATATTCGATGTCAGCTACTGGCCTATCTTTTGTGATTTTAGGTGGGTATTTTTGTGCAGGTTTAGATCTCAAGTCCTTGTCACAATCTGAGGGTAATATTAAAACACAGGAACCTAATGATGGAATAAGAGCACCTATGGTAAGTATTTCTGGGATATAAATAATGTGGCGTGATGTTTATGTGATTGTCGATCTTGCGCTGTCTCAAGCTGAAATATACTTTTTAGCACTGACTTGGTCGGGGAAATGCCCTTGAATCAGTCAGTAGAGGTTTATGTGTTCTATGCTGGAGATAATTGGGTTAATTCACATTAGGAACATCAAGGCAAATATAGCCAAGTGGGTATATATCATTCAGTTGTCATATTCAACCTCTGGTGTAACTTGATACCAGTAACCCTGTCCATCCACAATTGTTTGTGGACGCTCTACAGGTCACAATTTTTATCTGATTTCAACCAAACTTGAAATATAGGTTTATCTCCCTACGATCTCGTTTGCTTTCGATATTGGCATGTATAGGTCTGTAACTTCATGCATTATGGCCCCAGATTGTACGAAAAATCACGTTTTTAGCTTGTGGACCCTATAGAGGTCACAATTTTTATCTGATTTTGTTGTATATTGAAATGTAAGTTTATAACCCGAAGATCTTGGTTCCTTTCGATATTTGTGCACATCGGACCGTAAATTTCCTGAATTATGGCCCCTGATTGTACGAAAAATCACGTTTTATTCCGATTTAAAAAAACGTTTGAATATATCACCGTTATACCTTAATGAAGATTGAGTTCGAATTTGGTAAAAATCGGACCAAAACTGCCTGACAAAATGGCTGCCCCTCGAACGCAAGCAGTGTCAAAATATGGTATATCAAGGTTGTGGACCCTCTAGAGGTCACAATTTTGATCCAATTTTGATGAAACTTGAAATGCATGTTTGTAACCCAAAGATCTTGGTTGCTTTTGATATTCGCACATATCAGATCGTAACTTTCTGAATTATGTCCCCTGATTGTACGAAAAATCACGTTTTTAGCTTGTGGACCCTATGAAGGTCAAAATTTTATTCCGATTTCAAAAAATGTTTGAATATATCACCGTTACACCTTAATGACGTTTGAGTTCAAATTTCGTGAAAAACGGACTAAAACTGCCGGACAAAATGGCCGCCCCTCGTACACAAACAATGTAAAAGTATGGCATATCAAGGTTGTGGACCCTCCAGAGCTCATAATTTTGATCCGATTTTGATGAAACTTGAAATACATGTTTATAACCCAAAGATCTTGGTTCCTTTCAATATTTGACCGCCACTTGTACGCAAACAGTGTAAAAGTATGGTATATCAAGGTTGTGGACGATACTAATTGGTTACGTGCGGTCGCGCCAACCAAAAACACGGTTAGTTAACAAATTTATTCACATTTGATCAATTTTTATACAGGATGACTTTGTGACACAGGTCTAAATTACTAGTATTATAGCTTTTAAAGTGCACATAAGATGGGCCTGGAAACTTTGAGATACGTGTAGCCAATGGTTACTATATCCACTTTACGGCAAGTTCACACCAATCTGATTGAAATTAATTCAGTTATCTTCACTCAAAGTCGTAAAAATAGACCTCCCGTAAAAACGACTTTGCCAATTATCGAAAACACTCTTAATCCCCTCAGACGCCAGTGACGTCACAGTGACCAAATGCATATTCGGAATGTTTATTCCTTAATTACCTATATACAGCCGGCGTGTGTACTCATTAACGCCTGACTGGTTCCTTAATCCTCCTTAGTTCCTTAATTAAATAACACAATTGACTACGGAATAATTTGTTTTGTAATTCATTTTAGTTTAAGATTCAATTTAGAATTTGTTTCTCATGACAGCAATTTTAATACCCTCTAACATCGTTTGCAGTCCAATTGATTAGAGATACATTTTCGTCAAAAGAGTATTGTGGTTCTAATTTCCCCGAGTAAAAAAGTACAGAGGTGAAAAGATGTAGTCATGCAAATTGTATTATAAAAGTCAAACATGATTGAAACAGGGCTGCCGACAACCAGTATCGCAGCGCAATTTGCGATACATATTTTGTCCGTTGCTAATCAAAAATTAAAATCTAACGTTTTTGATTCGCAGTAACTGCGAATCATTAATATGCCTGTCATTTTGGATATTGACACAAATATTTATCCACATTTCTCAACACTTTCAACGTGTATAAAATATCAAATAAATTTTATAAACAAAACGGAATTCTCCGTGTGACATTTTCTTCTCGAACTACCCAGACTCAATTCATGATACTATATAATACAGGGACATAACTCTATGAATCGGGACTATTAAACCGGAAATAGGGAATCAAGTAGTACCACTCACGTTGCGAGACATGTCAATTTCGAGTAATTATATCAGTATTCAATTTAAAAAAAAATAAATTCAGTTTATCCCCCACGTATTGTAAATAAAATATAAAAAATAAATACGTGTAAACGTATTGTAAAGTGAGAAATCAAAGTAAGAATTCCCGTAAACTATTATTGTTTATATCGCGTGCGTCTAGTTAATCGAGATTATTCGTAAAATACCGCGTGCTTCCGATTGAACAAAAATAATAACACGATAAAAAGCAGACGAAATTGTTTTCTAACGAAGAAATAAGAAGCCACTGCCAAGAATTGGCTTCAGACATAAGGCCTAACAAAAGTCTACATTCATTCAGAAATGTTCACAGCTAGCTGTAGAAGTGCTAAAATTCTAAAAAAAATCTTAAGAATGAAATCTAATCATTTGCTATCAATTAAAATAATCTTGTTATTTAGGTGTTTTATGTTGATTTGAAACTGAAAAACTGCTAATCAATTTTTAAATTTGCTTATCAAATTTGGCAAAATTGGACTTTTTGATTAGCAGTGCTGCTAATCATCTGTGAAAAATTACCGACAGCCCTGGATTGAAAAGCGATTTGTAAATGACGATCCGTTATAATCATACGGCGGATTTGACTTCATTACTCGGAAATAGACCGTCAAAATGAAATGCGAAAAAATATCTCAATATACAGTACAAATAAATTTTGTTGGTAACCATCTAAATGGAATAACAGACAGATTGAGAAGTGTCATCTAACTATCTTTGTGTATTGATAATAATATGACAAGTAGTGTCGTTAATATCTGTCATTAATTAATCAATCCGACTAAAGTTATACAGACTTGGGGTCATTAAATAATTTACATCTCGGTGTTAGCATTGATTGTTAGTGGGATTAAGAATGCTGATTAGGTAATTATCTTTTTTACGCCGGCCAGATCAAAGACCTCACTCTAGGTGGAACGTGTGCGTAGTACCCACAAATGAACTAGGTAATTATCTTTTTTACGCCGGCCAGATCAAAGACATCACTCTAGGTGGAACGTGTGCGTAGTACCCACAAATGAACTAATGGTAGAATCGTACACACACATATTTATTGTATAAAATAATTAAGTTTTACTCATCAGTTGTTTTTAATTATTATTTAATTTTTGTGTTTTTGTAATCAAGTAGCATCGTATTATTTGTTGGCTGTCGTTTAAACAACATTTAATTGACTTGATATGAAATATTCTTTATTATAAAAGTATTTTACAATTGCATTGACAGTTTAATCACTCACCAAACGGCATCAGGTGTAATTGATATTCATGTCCATGAATCCAATGGAATTTTCGCGCCAAAGTTTAACCTCAGTTACTACGCCCGTAGTGCATAGAACCGTACATGGCAAAAAGATTCCCAACGTTGATTTACTGAGAAATGAGGGCGATCTATGCATGCTCATTGGAAAATTCCATATTCGCTGTGAATTCCAAATGGAGTTACGATAAAAGTTGTTCTTTGTGTATAGAAATGGTTATTATTATAAGATATAGCTAATAATGAATATATCGACAATTAACTGGCATCATTTGTATTTCTGTACTTATAGAGAATAGTTTGGAATATCAAGTATTACGGGGTTATCCAAATTACCGGTAAATGCGCTAATTGCTTAGGTCTTCTTCAGTTGTCACGGGGCCTCTTTAAACAATGGCACCTTAAATGGATCAACGGCATGATACGGCATTTTAAATTCACCTTAAAATGTTCCAATCACAACTGTCTAATCTATAACACCGCAAGACGATAATTCGATGATTATGATTATGCCAGTAACATGTTAATTGGACCGACACACTTGTCAACTGGTGGTGTGTATTGTATAGGTAATGTATATAGTATGTGTAGTGCCTGTGACGTCATCAGCCAATCAACCGGATTAAGGTTGTAATTGAAAATTTGAAAACAGTTTTTGGCTTTCGGATACTTAAACCTCAATAGCTGAATTAATTTTAATCAGATTGGTTTGAACTTGCAGTAAAATGGATATAGTAACCATTGGCTATAAGTACATTCAATTAAGATTTTTAATCTTATGTGGTCTTTAAATTACTGGTCAGCACAAACTCCATTCATTCTTGGCATTTTATTTCTCTATCTTACCGGTACTTTGACAGATCAAGTATTTTGACATCACGTATTGACCAGTTGCAAGCAGGTTTATTTAAAAATGCCCCCCATCCCCAAGTCTTTAAATGATTAGTTATGCCATAAATATTTGAAAGTGTGCCTTTGGGTTTTCAAATACAAAAAGAGTTTGACTATTTAACATGTCAGCTATATTTCCAAAGAATTTACTACACATGTTCCTTTCACTATAGCCCCTTCTATCCCGGATAAGAACAACAAAATGGGGGGGCCCATGGGTGAAATGACCAAAATGACAATTTAATTCGACTTTTGCATATAACAATCAACTTTCTTGCATACGTCGACCAACCTAAGATGTCATCAAAAACACTGCTTAAGAACACCCACGACCCTTCAGAACACCCCCCCCCCCTCTTTACCCCCCTGAAAAAAACACCAGGCAAAATTGAATAGAAATGACATTCGTTGCATTAAAATAGTTTGTTACATTCTTTATTGCTGTTACATATGTTCACACAATATTTCCATCAAATAGACGTAAGAAATGAAAAAATGAAAAACAGCCAAGTTTAAAGCAGAGCGAAATCAATAATTGTATTTAAGGTCTTTGAAGCTGGATAATTAAAAATATACTGTTCATGTTTTTATATAATAAATGATATATTGGATATATTTCATGAAATTTTATGTAACTGGCACTCCGGTTGAATGTATAAAAATTGCGGAAGCAGTATGTAAATGGCCAATTAAATTCCATTGAAACATGAAATAGACACAATTTATTTTTATATAATGACATGCCAAGCGGGGGGATGCAAACAACTTTATTAAGAATGATAATTAGATTTTCATATTCCAGGTGACCGGCCATGTAAAGGGCCAATCTCAATTATATTTTGGAGAATAAAACTGCTTAATTTTGTGTTAAAAGCCCTTAAAATCCCCTACCTTTGGCCGAGCAACTAACTCAATATATGTGATACGTTTTCAAAGAACTTAAAACTGTCAGTCTTCATCTGGGAACGAGACTGGTGTCCCATGCAGTATTATACGGTATCTAGATAAAACAAGACTTTTATTTTATAAAAATAATGTGTAGGTGAAATGTACCTTTCTTTATCAAGTACAGCACGTGGGTCATGCATGCACTGTATAGATCTCTAAAGGAACAGCAATAGAATATCAGGTCACCCAAAGAAAAAATTGATTCAAACCCTTAAAAGGGTTACATATCCGGATAAGCGGTTTTGACGTCAACGTCAAAACGACTCAATATTGCGAACTGAAATTTTGAGAGAAGGTAAATACACCATTCCTTGAATTTCTTACATACACGTTTGTATCAAAGACTCTGTTAATAGTGTTAAAATCTGGGATGTTCCCTTGAAATAGAAATATTGCAAGTTTACACAACATTGACAAATAATGATAAATTCGGATGTTAATCCAAGAGAATTTTCTATTGTAGTGAAGACAATTACACCTCCTCACCTCCCCATTGTGAACTTAACTAGGTCGCTTGTGGAAAATGTGACGGATAACAACTACTGAAATTCACGGTCCCAGTACTAAAAAATTCTACAATACAAAAAATTTCATACTTTAATTTACTTTGTGAACTCAACTAGGTCGCTTCTGGGAAATGTGACGGATAACAACTACTGAAATTCACTGTCCCAATACTAAAAAATTCTACAATACAAAACATGTGACGGATAACAACCACTGAAATTGAGTGTCCCAATACTAAACATTTATACAATACCAAAGATTTCTTACTCTAATTTACTTGGATGTCTTTTTATACAGACCCACTTTTTCTCCCTGCTTACACCATACTCATGATCCCTTTGAACCCCAGGTTTGGAAACACGGTTCTGGTCCCTTTTGTCAATGATAAACAAAAACTCTTTAACCAATGATTATATGAATCAGTGATTTAAATGTCTGATTTACAATCAAATTTTAAAACTTAATTTTAATCGTTGACGAAGAGAAATTCTAGTCTTTGATTAGCTAATCTGACTTTTGAGAATGCCAAACTTAGTCAACTACTAATCTCTAATGAGCCAGTTCCTGATTAGACCTAATCACAGATTATTTTAGACACAGTTTGAAAATATGGGCCTAAGTTGCTTAAATATAGGGATTTAGTGAAGTGGAACAAATTTATATAATGTTTAAATAGGCACACCATGGGATAAAAGTCATAAACACTTAACCTCAAAATATAATATTAAATATAAAAGAATATAAATTAGTCAAGTTATTTCTTTAAAATATACATTCACTGCAAGTGGAAATGAATAATAGCACCATAAAAATCTGGATAAAACGTGAAAATAGCTCAACAATTTTATGTAACCAACTGGTTACGCAATGGACATTTGGCGCAACCAAAGAAAATGTTTACGCAGGAAAAAAAACCTGCAGCCATAATTTTTCTGGTTACACCAAAATTTGAAATTTCATGGCCTGTTATACGATTTAAAAAAACGTGGGAATGTATCACCGTTACACCATAGTGATGGTTGAGTTCAAATTCTGTGAAAATCGGACCAAAACTGACGGACAAAATGGCCGCCCCTTGTATAACGCAAATGGTGTAAATATGTTGTATATCAAGGTTGTGGACCCTCTAGAGGCCACAATTTTTTTCCGATTTTGATGCAACCTTAAATTTATGCTTATATCACAAAGATCTTGGTCCTTTCGATATTCGCGCATATCGGATCGTAGCTTCCTGAATTATGGCCCTTGATTGTATGAAAAATCTCGTTTTAAGCTTGTGGTCCCTCTAGCGGTAACAATTTTAATCCAATTTAAAAAAACATTTGAATATATCACCGTCACACTTGAATGATGGTTGAATTCGAATTTCATGAAAATCAGACGAAAACTGACAGACAAAATGGCCGTCCCTCTACGCAAATAGTGTAAACATCTGGTATATCAAGGTTGTGGACCCTCTAGAGGTCACAACTTTGATCTGATTTTAATGAAACTTGAACTGCATGTTTATAACCCAAAGATCTTGGTTCCTGTCAATATTCACACATATCTGATCTTACCTCCCTGAAATATGGCCCTTGATGTTAGGAAAAATAGCTTTTTGTTTAGTTTGTTCTCTATCGATCTCTTGCAAAATGTGGGCGTATCCTGCCTGGCAGCCGCTGGTTTTGTTATAGTCCAGGGTCCAAGTAGAATGATGTTTAGTAAACCTGTTATTGTTGTTATATTCCAGGGTCCAAGTAGAATGATGTTTAGTAAACCTGTTATTGGAGCTATAAGTGGTTATGCTGTAGCAGGTGGAATGGAACTAGCTCTGTTATGTGATCTAAGAGTTGTAGAAGAATCAGCTATTATGGGGATATTCTGCAGAAGATTTGGTTAGTACTCTAGGATTTGCTAACTTCTTTGCAATGGCAATGTTGGAGTAGCTGACTACAGGTCCGAGGTGCTTATATAGCATTCCTTGATAGTGTATGTGAGCTCAGAATTTTCATACTAGCATTGCTATGCTTGGCAGAGGTGAGACTCCCTTGAAACCAAAGGTATTCAATGACTCCTGTAACTTCAGTAGCCCAGATCTGCCAATGCACTGTGAAACACAAGTAAAACGCTAAGACTAAACCCTTTGTGAGTCTGCAGTAATTGGATTGATGAGACTTTAAAACTCCTATTCCTTAGAATTTAAACAGAATTTCCCTTGTTTATGCAATATATATTATGACTATATCTCTAATACAGGGATTGAGCAGCCCTGTGATTTTCTATTAAAATACATCACTTAAAAAAAAATTATTTCATTTCCATGTTATAAAAGCTTATAGGAGGACAAAACTCTTGGTAAAACACTGCTGCTTCTGTTTTCTCCCAATAAACATATTTTAATCAGTCTTTGGAATGATATGATTTTTATCCAAACATTTTGATGTATATATCCTTTGGTGACGGTAATTTAATGGCCCAATCAATATGATTTTTTTTATCTAATCTTCGATTGAAGGAGTACCCCTGGTAGATGGAGGGACAGTACGTCTGCCTGCGCTGATCGGTTTATCTCGAGCTTTAGATCTTATTCTAACAGGGCGACCAATCAACGCTAAGGAGGCTTTACAGTTTGGATTGGCAAATCGTGTTGTTCCAGATGGCACTGGAAAGGTTAGATAACTGCTTATTTTGGGTGTATTTGTATGACATACAACTTTTATTTTTGTTATCATATATTTTCTCATTACATATACATACCAAGATTAAAGTTTCATTTTTGAATGGTGGTCTAACTCACCTAATTATTAAAAACCCAAGGGTTTTTTTTACATTAGAGTTCTTTAAACCCTAGCATTGCACAGGTGACTGTGATAAATAAAATATCATGTTGACTTGATGTAGAAAAATAAAAGGATTGTTTGTATGTTTATTTTTAGGACTGAGCAACGCTATAGAACTAGCAAATGAAATTGCAGCCTTTCCACAGAGATGTATGAAAGCTGATCGTAGGTCTGCATACAACTCAACATTTGATGCTGAAACAATGATGGATGGTCTACAGTATGAGTTTGTTAATGGGATGAAAGTAGTTCAAGATGAAGCCGTTCCAGGTAGGCCTCATTTTCTCAAAATAACATTTATTTGACATCAAGCCATGTATTGTATTTTCTTGAAATGTCTGTACCCTCACATTGAACATATCCTTATCAATATCGTCCCTCGCCCTTTCTTGTCTCTACTTTTGAAGGAAATAAAACCTTTTTTTAAACGCCAACATTTTCATGTGGACGTATATTGTTACCTTCGTCCGTCCGACCGTCATTTGCATTTGTTTGTGGACACTCTACAGGTCACATTGTTAACCTAATTTTGACGAAACTTGAAATATAGGTTTATGTCTCAAAGATCTCAGTTCCTGTCTATATTGGCATGTATTTGACTTTAACTTCATAGATTATGGCCACTTGTTATCCGATTTTGATGAAACTTAAGATATGTTTATATCCCAAAGATCTTGGTTTCTTTTGATATTCGGGCATATTGGACCGTAACTTCCTGGATTATGGCCCCTGATTGTAAGAAAAATCACGTTTTTAGCTTGTGCATCTTCTAGAAGTTTCAATTTTTATCCGATTTTGATGGAACTTAAAATATTTTTTTATATCCCAAAGATCTTGGTTTCTTTTGATATTGTCGCTTGTCGGACGGTAACAACATGGATTGTTCTCTGTCCATTTCTTGCAAAATGTGGACGTATCTTGCATGGCAACCGCTTGTTAATTTAGGTGAAAATAGAATATTGAATTGGGTTCATCTGATTTGGTACTTTCTATGAGTAATTGGACAGGCTCTACCAATAAATTTTATGTTTTAAAATATATTCCGATGTCAGCTTGTTTACTATTTTATATGTTTAGTTTAAAACAAATCAATACATCAAATTTGATTAAATCAGCACTTTTATTTTTTACCCAAATCAAAGAGGTCTAGTCATTGTAAATTGATAGTGTTATGTTCTGAATAGATTCTGTTTGTTTTTAGGTGCCCAAAGATTTAAAGATGGAGTTGGAAGACATGGAAGCTTTACTAAGAAATAGAAATAATCCCCCCAATAGTATTTTATCTTACAATTATTCTTATTGGTCAGACCCAATGATCTTCAGTGGTACAATTCTTCGTATTTGTCTGACCCAATGAGCCTTACAAGTCTTCTTAATGGTGAAAAATAACCCAATGATCTTCAGTGATAAAGTCTTTTTAATGATGAAAAAAACTGTGATGATCTTCAAGTTCACAATTCTTTTCATCGGTAAGAATTAAAATCTTCCAATTATTGAGAAGAAAACCAATGGTACAAGTCTTCCAACAATTCCTTGAATATTCCTTGATATGGTAATACTTTCACATGGAAAACTAATATTTATTGTTACAACGCTAACAGTACAGCGGCTCTGTAAGGCCAGCAAATGAAATTTGTGATTGGCTGGTTCTACAGCTCTGATCTAATTATGGTTAGAGAATATTAATCTTGTTATGTCAGGTCACAATGTTGCTAATCGAAATTTAACTTGTGCTCACAAATCAAAATATATTGGAAGTGTATTCAAAGCTTTTTGCTTGTCAAGCAGCCACAGGATTTCTTTCTTTACCTTTTGATTAATCTATGTATGTTATAATTTGAAATAGCCAAAGTTAAATACAATTTTATGATCTGGAAAAATGTTAGTTTCGAGAACTCCAGACCAAATTGTCTGCAATATTAATCTGGAAAAAAAAGGGGACCAACAGTGCTAATTAACTGACTCCACTCGTCTTAAAGAGCACATTAAATGACCAATATAAATAGTATGTACTTTAGGCTAGTGTTACTATACAATTTATTACAATTTAATTCAAATCCATTCATAATCAAATGAGACATCTTCTTTCAAAGTCACAAATATGGAACTGCCCTGAAACCAATTATGCCAATTATCTAAAATACTCAAATTTGTTATATATGAAATTGGCGAGACAGCGCAGTATTCCATGTAAAACGAGTGGTTTAACTTTAGTTCATATTTAGAATTTGTCATGAATATGCCATAAATCTGCCCTTTCTGAGTTAGTCCCCATAACATAGTTTTAGGGGGTTGTAAATCATTAACACCGATGTGCAAAGGATTATTGTTGATCACTGTCTGCAACTGTGCCCTCCAACAAATACACATTATAGTAGACTCTTTATAAAATGGGTGTAATCAATCACTGAACCCCATCGCTCTATTGTCTTGCCACCTTTCTTGCTTGTAACTAGAAAATTGAATAATTAATTCAAAGCTGTGCTATAACTGAAACTATTGTAGGAATTATAATGATGATTTTGTTAAAACTTTGTATCATGTAAATCTTTTTATTAAAAGTTTACTTGTGAGACAGTGCAAACTAAATGCATACAAAGCTTCAGGAGAGACAGATATTATAAACCCTCTGATAATCTCTCTGGTGCATGTGCAAAATGTGCCACATTGGATGATTAGAAGTGGTGCATTGCATCCTTTATTTTTAGCAAATGTTATCTTCTTTTACTTTAATTTGTTTTCAGTTAAAAATATGCTTAAACATACATTATGCAAGAGAAAAATCTGCCTATTGTAGGTCTTTCTTTAGGCCTGAAATGTTATATAAACTATTAATTAGACATTAATTAACGTATCCAGACCATAATCAACTCTTGATGTCAACGCTAGCCTGCGATAATTGTTGGATTATGATCCAATTTGCTGTATAACTTTCCTTCTCGATTTAACGATTAAGTAGATAATCGAGACTATGATTTTTGTCGTACTGACTGTAGTAATGATGACTGCGGTTATGCCGAACTTTCAATCGCTTATTCCTCGGTTTATAGTGGATCAATTTGACTGAAATTCTCAGCAAATTGCCTTTACATTATCTAGTTTTTAACTATTATAGTGAGAACTGCCAACTCGTTATCTAATCTCCCATAATGTATCTTTAATGAATCAAATTAGGAAACCTTTGAATTGCGTCCTACCAAATATAGTATTGAATGGGTTGATCAGTATTCTACTTCCACATTTATTGAATGATGCTTGTCACAATTTGCTCTAATAAAGTTAATTTGCACAAAAATCAATTATATCTCAAAATTGACCCTGTGGACCAAATATTTTACATGTAAACAGGTACTGATTTCACAAAACAAAGAAACTAGTAATTAAAAAAATTTAATTTCAAATTTAACTTTGATTTTTTTTACCTATTTCCAGAGATCGCATAAAAAAGTTCTAAACATCCAACATATTTTGATTGTTATATTGTATGGAATACAATTACTGTTTATTAGTTTTACTGTTTAACAGTTTTAGTTTAAGAATTGGGTCACCTTCAGGGTTATTGTTGTTTATTTATATCTAAATAAGGTGGCATCATTTTTATAAGACATCATTTCGTTGTTAAATTCAGATTAGAGATATCCAGTGGAATGGTTGCTCTGTTAATAAAAAACCAGTAATTATATTACATAGAAATGTATCCTGGGTATAACCTGATCCATTACTAAATTCCATCCAAACAATTTTAATTGATGTTAATGAAATTTGTTATTGTTTTTGTTCTGAAATAAAGCTGCCAAATGCCAATTAGTTATTAACTATTATATAATATCGTGTGTTTTTTTTCTATTTTGGTGTGGGGAGGAGGGGGGGGGGGGTATAACTGTTCATGGCACAACCCTGTATTTTTCTAATTTCATGCCATTTTAATATGCATAATAAACGAACATATTGTTAAATGTGAGAGAAAAAAATTACACAATACATTTGTATATTCGACTCTGCCTTGTTTTCTTATTTCCTTGAAAAGATCACACTAGAAACATTTCCAAGGTGTGAACAGTGGTATTTTGTTTAGGGAGAGGGGGGTGGATCATTAGCATTTTTCCATGGGTTAACCATACAGAGGTCCTAACCCGACCCACATTTCATATTCGCCACTGAAATAGGTACGTCTTTGGTTAAACTGTGCTGTGGTTCCCCGTAATGAAATTCGGTATTATTAGTCCGGTGGCTGAAGGGGGTGAATTTATGAGACCAAGATTTTCTCTACCATCTATTAATATAAAACAAAAATTTCTAGGACTGTCAATCTCTAAAGAAGTGTATATGATGCCCCTGGACAACTGTTTTGATTTTTGGGGATGTGCGTGTATGGAAGGAGGGGTGGGGTGGGTAGAAATTCGCGGGAAATGAGTTCACGTTGATTTAAATGATGATTTTCATAGAGCTTGGTAAAAGCATTACTTTTGAATATCGCTGGGGGGCGGGGGGAGACCATGTAATTTTTGGGACATAAACCACTTGGCTCTAAATTGACCTGAAAAGTGTTTTCTCGTTAGCTTTTTTGTTCAATCTGATTAAAACAGAGATGCTATATATCGTTCCGTTTTCTATAGTTCAAAATTTCGTTTTACTTGTCTTCACAACACTAGGATCTGGAAGAGTTGTTATAAAACAGGCAGTCTAGTTGATGTGAGGTATTAGCCAATGAAACGGTCTGTTAAGGCGAGTTCTTGGCGTGCTCTGCACGGAACTGTGGGTAAACCCCTAGAAACGTCAACGCTGATTGATTAATCAATGTCTGACGTCATAGGTAAAAAGCCGCTCGTATGACCCCTGACGCGACCTCCCAGTACAACTTTTCAGATCTTCATGTAGTGTAGGCCATCGAAAGTATAAATAAAACGAAACGAAATATACATCTGTATTTTAATCAGATTGCTTTTTCGTTCAGTACCAATTTCGTCATTCCGAATAATAATATTAAATTATAATGGTACTTTTCAAGGGGTCTGGAAATGTACATACCCCCCCCCCCCCACAGTAAATTCGATACATGTTTAGATATTAGTTTATTAGTTTATTCTTAGTCTTCATCAGAAGATTCAAAATCAAAGTTCATAACAAGAGCTTGATAGATATCTTCTTGATGACTAATCAAAAGCTCGCATTATTTCCTTGGAATATGCTTCTGATACCCACTCACATTGAAAATCTTCATTCTAGCCCTGTATTGCAAGATCATTGGTTTTGCAGCCTGTCTCCATATTGTTGCAACATAATTGTTGCGTTTAATGTGCAGCAAAAGATTACTCGGGCAAGATGATAATAAAGAAAGAAAGGTTTGTTATTTTTCATAAAAATTAAAATTCCTCAAAAAAATCTTTCTTCTAGTGTCATCTACTGATGTAAGTCGCATTTCGCCGAACTAGTCCTGGATCTGACTATGGTTCTGAAGGAAAGTTTGAGTAGTGAGAATTTTTTTGAAGAAATGTTTAAAGGGTGCCGAAGTCAGTATTTTTAACTTGGGTGGACACTCACCACGCCGACGTTATCTCAATTGTATCCTACCTGCTCTAGTTTTCTGTCTATTTCTATGAAATAAAGGTCAGAATGAAGCTGTTTGGACTTGGGTGGACACTCACCACGTGGTAGGTTATTTTCTATGACGTCATCAAAGATGACCGCCGACGTTATTTCAATTTTATCCTACCTGCTATAGTTTTCTGTCAATGTCTATAAAATAAAGATCAGAATGAAGCTGTCTGTGCGAACTAAAGTGAAAAGTATATTTATTATTAATCTGTTATAAAATTTTTAACGAAAACTCATACCCAATTCAATGTGGCGGTCTTCAACAAGTTTCTGAGAGCGTTATCTCGTTATCTATGGTGGCTGATTAGTATCATGTCGTGGTGTCGCCCTTCGTAAGATGACATCACGACATTTTAACCCGATACTACGACAACCCGAAATCACAACATTTTAACCCGACAATACGACATTTTCACTCGATACCACGACATTGAAAATGTCATATTGCCGGGTTAAAATGTTGTATTGTCGGGTTAAAATGTTGTAATGTCGGGTTGTCGTAGTGTCGGGTGTTCCTCTCAATATGATTATGTTCCCCGGGATTTTGCAGCATGAATTTTCCATGTCGGTAGTTCAGGACAATATAGCCGATATCACGACAACTCGACACCACAAAAATACTATGTTTTGGTTCCCCAGGATTTTGCAGCGCAGTATCTCCATGTCGGTAGGGGGGCCTAATGCAAGACAATATGGTCGATAACCCAACATCACGACAACCCGACACCACGACAACATTTTAACCTGACAATACAACATTTTTACGCGACATTACGACATTTTTAATGTGATGGTGTCGGGTGAAAATGTAGTATTATCGGGTTCGAAATGTCGTGATGTCGGGTTAAAATGTCGTGATGTCGGGTTGTCGCCTTATGAAGGGCGACATCACGACATGATACCAATCAACCACCATAGTTATCAGTGTGTTAAGTGGTGGGAGAAGAACTCTTTTTTTTTAAATTCTTCAAACACAAATGGTGATAGAGGCGAAATGTGCTGAAATAAAGAATTGGACAAAAAAAAAAACCCTCAAAAATGCCAGCTATTTCGTAAGGTGACTTTTAGCTATAAGGTTTTCGATATCTCTGAGTTTAAAGATGGCAACCAAAATGGAATCTAACATGGCGGATTTTAAGTTAGGCCTAATCGTCATCTATTGCATGTCATCTATATGGTTCCCAGTGTCGCTGGGTTTAATAATTCTTATCTCAAAAATAAAATTTAAGAATTCATGATGGCAGAAATGCAAAATGGCCACCATAATGAAATCCCAAACGTCAGAATTTTAATTAATCGTCATTAATTTTTTTTACTTCCATTAGATATGATTTGTAATATGTCTTATAGCCTATAGGCTAAGGGGTTTGAGTTGCAGAGTTCAATTTATATCCCAAAACTAATTATGAATAGCCCACAGATGGGGTAAATTTAAAACGACAATGAAAATAGTTTCCAATATGGCGATTTTTGTTCTTAACAAAACACAACACAAGGTATATATGGATATAACTACTTCTCTATTATGTGTTTTGTTATGAATAGTTAACCGTGCAACTAGATGTCATTTAAAGAATTGAATTTTGTTCTTTAGGATATTCCTTCAAAAATAAAGTTTTCAGAGTTACTGAATACAATATGGGGTTCAAAAATTAATTTCCGATAAGATTGTCTGTAATTCAATTCACAAGTTCTTGTGATTGCCACAACAATACTGTTTTTCATCAGCAATGGACACTAGACAAAAAATAGGCAGAAAAGCAATTCATCAAAAACGAACATTAACTAGTTTCGGGACCCCTGAAACTACCATACTCCTGTTCAGCTCATCCCTAAAAAGGGAGGGGAAAGATAGGATTTTAAACGTGTTGCAAATTTCTACATAACTTAATTAATCATCAGTAGAAATACGCTATATTAAATGATAAATCATATATTATTTTACAGGTACAAAATAGAAAAAAAAGGTGTTTCCGTTTTATACAAGAAACAATTTGTTGTCATTTCATGCAGAAAGATATGCTGTTAAAACGTGTTGCAAATTTTTGTATTACATGGTAGGCCTTAAATTATCATATAAATTAACACTTGGTATTTTTATCGAATATTTTACAGCAACCAGAACGTTTCTGTTTATTTGAAAATTCCAATAAACAATTTTTTTTTAGTTCGAGTGGAAAGTGCTACAGATGGTAGATAATATTTAAATGTTGTTTAAATGCGTATTTTCATAAACTTTTTATGCAGATAGATGTTTATATGAAAGGTCCACTTGGATATAAAGTACGATTTTGTGTGAAATAGGCGTCCTGGATACAATGCAACATAGGAGGCTTATGAAATTTTACAGTCTAGTAGTTTATTCATCCCTTGATTTTGTGAAATAAAGAACATTTTGCCACTAAAGCTGGTTTGAATACTGTTTGATGCAGAGTGAACAAACCCTTTTCTGCGTGCCAAGTTTGCGATATTTTAGTATGGTTGAGGCAATAACATGTCTTAAAATGTTTCTATTATAAAGGTAACAATTATTATCGCTTTAGCCTCTTGAGCGTCCACAAGAATTTTCAAAGTGATCAAGGGCCTTCACTCTACCAGTAAATATAACAAGCATGTTTCCACAAGCAATTGTGGACGACGGATGGGGACGACGGCAATATACGACCACATTTCAATATGGGCGTATAAAAATTGTTTGCGTCATTTTGGGGTAATCAGCCCAGTGGTGTGGGGTATGACGCCCGGGTATAGTTTGAGTGTTATTAAAGAATTTCTTATTGTTATAGCATTGCAAATATGTAAAAAAATAATGTTATTTTTTTTTTAACCTTTTCCATGTTTCCACTTCAAAATGTGGTATAATGTGTCTTTTTGAAAATCAATAAAAATTTACCCCCAAAAATATTCTTCAAATAAGTTCACATAAACAGCTTCATTCTGACCTTTATTTCGTAGAAGTGGACAGAAAACTAGAGCAGGTAGTATAAAAATGAGATAACGTCGGCGGCCATATTTGATGACGTCATTGTTGAATAACCTACCACGTGGCGAGTGTCCACCCAAGTTCAAAATACTTACCTCGGCACCCTTTAAACATTTCTTCAAAAAAATTCTCCATACTCAAACTTTCCTACAGAACCATAGTCAGATTCTGGATTATACTTGGTACAAACAATTTTTTCTAAACCAGCAATTACGTCATCAGAAACCTCATTTGTATGTTAGAATATTGGAAAAAGAAAGACAGATAGTCAGTAC